AATTTTTTTATTGTAAAATTTATATTTATATTTATTTTTTATAATATTAACTATTATAAATTAAGATTGATCATCCCATAATCTTTTTGGTTTGATAGACATTCATTATTAAATATGTATATATATTTTATTGCTTATGTGTTAGATGGCCGGTAATACTATTATTTCATATTAACAGTTTTTTGGTTTTAACTAAATTATATACTTTTTTTTTTCTCGTTGCAAAAAGGGGAATGGTGTAAATTTCTTTTTTTTTTTTCAATTCCTAAACCACATTACCGATTAAAGCTTTGTCGGTAAAATGCAAAATTGCCGATTGGAAGTTTGTCGGTAAATTATATAACAATTAATTCTTGTAAATCGGCCATACTTTCACAAATTTCTAAACAAACTTACCGATTAATTTTTTGTCTGTAAAATGCAAATTTTTTTTTTCCTTGGTAATTGCTGATTGGAAGTTTGTCGGTAAATAACAATTAATTCTTGTAAATCGGCAATTCTTTTACAAATTTCTAAACCAACTTACCGATTAATTCTTTGTCGGTAACTTACTGACATGCTGACTGGATGCAATAAACGAGGATGCAATAAACGAGGTAACACAGGGACGCAGTAAACGAGGTCTACAGTTAGAGACGTGAAACTCGTCGGTAATTGACACCTTGACTTACGTGAGAAGCTCCGGCAGTACGGTTCCGGTAGTTGTTTTGAGACATGTGTTTTGTTGGTAATTTGGACCAAATTACCGACGTAACTCCATCTCACATCGGTGAAGTTATTACCGAGGAAGCCAACACCGACAAGTGTATTACCGACAAAGTATAAGTTGGAAAATTTATTTACCGACAAACTCCCTCCTGATTTCCGACATGGTATTTCATCGGTAATTTGGTGTATTCTTGTAGTGTACATATCACACTCACACAAAATCTTGACCATTTTATTCACTTTTATTATATTTATTAAAGATGATTATCATTTTTATTTAAAAAATCGTGATAAATTTTAACCATTAAAAGTAATAGGATGAATGATCAAGACTTTATATAAGTGTTGTGTATAATATTTATATGTAAGTGGATCTTTAAACATATATATATACTACACTCATACAAAATTTTGATCATTTATCCCTGTACTTTTAATAGTTAAGATTTAATCATTTTTATCCTATTTATTAAAGATATATAATTATCTTTTTAATATAAAAAGTCGTTATCAATCTCAACTATAAAGACATGAATAGTTAAGATTTTAGGTAAATATAATGTGAAAGACTTCTTTATAAATGAATTTCTACTCATATATAGAGAACATATATGTCACACCCCAACCTAAGGATTAGGACATAACAACACCACATACCTTCAGGAGTGACCCCAAAAAGCATGTAGTGCTAAGTTTGTCTTCTAAGTTCAACCACATAGCCTTACATAAAATTATTCTTTAATTAAAAAAAATTACCAACAATTATCCACCATCTAAAACGAACTTTAAGCCAAGATCTCAAGTCTAACTAGCACTAAATAAAATATCTTTGTTTCAATTATTCATGACTTGCTAAACATAAAAGGAAAGAAGTAAATAAATCTAATTCTAAGGCGGCTCTCTATTTCCCATGCATCCTTGATGCTCCTTAATTAGTGTCTAAAAAAGATTAAATAAAACAATGTGTGTCCTACATGCCCAGTAAGTAACATACTTAGCTAGTAAGATCAAGTATAAATATCTTTATTAAAAAGTGATAATAAATAATAATAAAATTATTCCAAACGAAACAAGTAATAAGAAACTCATCCACAAAACAACTTCTCAATCCCTCATGGTTGTAGCACAATAATATCAACCAGATGGTAATCCCAATATGGTTTGTCGTTTGATAATCTAATACGACGAAAAAATGAACCATTCGATAGTTTAGCATGGTTTACCGTTTGATAATCTAGCATAATTTACCATTCGATAATTTATTATGGTACAATAATCTAAAATGAAACCCAAGTCAAATAGTTGCCATTAGTTTAACCCTTGAGGCAGGGTTGTCTAGCCACTTCATGCAAAACAAGTTACCTTAATATTAAATCAATTTTCAATTCCAAAGCCTCAATGTCACAAAGCTTTCAAATTTCCTTTTTTCATTCCAAAGCCTCCATGTTTGATCCACATAAATTTTAACAATAAACACATTCTAAAAGAAATACCATAAGGAAAATAATTAAACATATTTTTCATTTTTAAATAGATTTATTTTACAATAACAAGGGAAAGAATAATTTATTTTTCAAACATTCCTAGAAATGATAATGCTACTTACCTCAATTATTCACGAAGCACAAGCCAAATGCAATGTTAAGAATTCCTTAGACCATCAAATAGGTTTGGCAACCATATTCACCAAATTGTACAATCACCTCACTGTTTCTAAGTGGAGAAATCGACGCGAAGGGAAGGCTCTGCAGAATGGGCAACCTAATTCTTAGATTTGTAGGTTAACTTTGTACATTTTACAAGCCACTCCTCCAACCTTACAATTATTAACACATAAGTCCTCATATTTCTACCTTATTGCATACATGTCGTTAAGGGATTAAATTGAATCAAATTTAAAAAAAATTCTAGACATTACAATATATATAGGAAAAAATGCATATCAATCTTGACTCCTAAAATAAATTGAAGTCTCAACTTTAAATAACGTTATTTTATTTAATTAAAATCAATTCAAAATTTGAAAGTCCACCTTGTTGAATGTTGATATTTGAATTTGAAAACTACTTATATTAAAATATATAATCAGTTTTCAAATCTAAGTATCAACAATTAATTAATAAGGTAGATTTTTGAATTTTGAATTGAGATTTTAGTTTTCAAATGTAGGTTGAAACTCTAATATATTTTGAGAGTCAAACTGATATGCAATATTGTCATATATATGAGAATAGTGCATATCAGTTTTGACTTGTAAAATAAATTAAAGTCCTAATTTTAAACTATTTTATTTTATTTAATAAAAACTAAATTAAAAATTTTTTAAATTCATTTCATTAAATGTTGATATTTAAATTTACAAATTGATTATATTAAAATATATAATCAATCTCAAAATCTAGGAATCAACATTTAATAGGGTGAATATCTAAATTTTGATTTGGGATTTTAGTTCTCAAATATAGGTTAGGACTTGAATTTTTTTTAAAAGTTGAGATTAATACACATTAAATTCATATATATATATGTGGGAAAAGAGTAAATTAGTCCTAACTCCCAAAAAAAAAAAAAAGAGTTCCAACCTTAAATGATGTTGTTTCATTTAATTAAAATTAAATTCAAATTTCAAAAATTTAACTTATGAAATCTTAGTACCTAGATTTGGAAACTAACTGTATATTCTAATATAATCGGATTCCAAATTCTTGTATCAACATTTAATAAAAAGAATTTCTGAATTTTGAATTGGGTTTTCAATTTCTAAATGCAAGTATTAACATTTAATAAGGTGAATTTTTGAATCTTAAATTGAGTTTTAATTAAATGATAAGATGTTTTTTAAGGTTGGGACTCTTTTTCTTTTTTTTTTTCTTTTTTTTTTTTTAAGAATTGGAACTAATATGCACTACCTTATATATATATGAGTAAGGATCTACTTATATACAAATTTTACATACTATACTTACATAAAATCCCAACTATTTATCTTTTACCTTTTAATAGTTGAAATTTATTCACATTTATTAAATATAATTATCATTTTTATCTAAAAAGTCGTAATAAATCTTAATAATTGAAAATAAAGAGTTAAATGCTCAAGATTTTATGTAAGTATTACATATAAGATTTGTATGTAAATAGATCTTTTATATAGATATATATATCAAAAAAGTGGGTATTAGCCTATATTGTAAAATATTAAGCAAAAAATATTCTAGAACTACGTCATTTTAATAAAGTCTTATTGAAAAAGACTAAAATATCCTAATTTTTAAAATAGGAATAAGGTTGTTTTAGTCTTTTTCTATGATACTTAATTAAAACAACATAATTTTAAAGTATTTTCTACCTAATTTTTTTGCAATACATGGGTGATACCCACTAATCTCTAAATATATACATTGCACAATCTTCTCTTAATTGGTCATTTATTCAATATAACTAATTCACAACTTACGATAAATAAAAAAAAAATTAGACAGAAAATCTAATGGTACTAGAGCTTCCAAAATCTAAAGCTTCATTTGAAAAATCAAATCACTTCTTACTTAGTAGATAAATATTCTGTGATAAATATTTAGAAGGGCAATTGTGTCCTTTAACCCTAATTATTCATTGTATATATAACCTACTATTAATAGAAATATACATGGCCAATATTATCCTACATGGTATCATAGCTTTCAAATTACGAAACCAAAAATTCTCTCTAGGGTTTCTTATTTCCACCTCCATTGTCTTCTTCTTCTTCTTCTTCTTGTCTCTCCTATGTCTTTTCCTTCATTAGCGACCTGTGAATCTTCATTTTATACTTCTCCTACTGTCTCCCCAATTATAACTCTTGCTATGACTCTTGCTATGTCTTCTATACTTTCTCACTCTATCCTCTTTGTATCCAACATCAAAAGCTTTGCACCTAAGACCTCCTTAACTCATGAAAATTATTTGATCTAGAAAGAATTAATGATCCTTGTCTTGGGTAACAAGGTGTTTATGGTCACAAAGATGGAACCAAACCATGTCCTCCCTCACAAATTTGACCTTTGAAAATTGGTAGCAAATTGATTAGCAAGTATTATTATTATTATTATTATTATTTTGATCTTGAGTTGCACAATGGGAGGCAACTATCTCTTATCCTTTAAGCCCACTTCACCTATATGCGATGGGACTCGAACTCAAGATCTCTTACTTCCACAAAAAGAAAATTACCACTAATCTACTTAGGTTATTAGCAATTCATTAGCAAGTATTAACATGAGTTCATGCCACTATCTCTCATGAAGTTTTGAAATTAATCATCACACCAAGACAATCTTTAATAGCCAAATTTACTTGGGATGCCATTGAAGTTTCATACCATAGTCAACTTGAAGCTTGAGATTTAATGCTTAGACAAGAATTTTGTGGCTTACGAAAAAACTAGAACAACCAATGAGGGAGTATCTTGAACATGCTAAAACCTTATCTAATCTTCTTTTAAAAGCAATAATCCAGTTTTTAATAGATATCTTATTTTGCAAGTCCTAGCTGACTCTCATCAAGAACACAGTTTCTAAGCATACAATACCTCAAAGGCAACCGTATCCCTTTTTTTCAAGACTACAATCATTCTTATTAATTGAAGAAGCTAATATTAAGCTTAAGCATGCTCAAAATAGTGTTGTTGTACCTATTTCTTCTCAATAAATTTTGACAACATCTAATTCTCCTCACTTTAGTAATGGAAAGAACAAACAAGATTTCAATGGACTTGCTCATTTCTCTAATAAAAGTGGCAATTATTGTGGAGGCCAACATTGTTATCAAGGTAGAGGAGGTTGGTTTTTAGGATGTCTTGGTAATGGCAATTTTGGATATCATGGTTATTGTGGTAGTTCTAATTTCGTAGCTCCAAGGTCACAATTTAGCAACATTGGATATGGATTCTCTCAACCTTCATAGGACTTAACATCTTCAACATCAAGTTCTCATAGATCCTCACTTCCACCATTTTTGCCTACACCACAACAACCCATTGACTCTCAATGGTGAATTTAGGCCATTCATCAAGCTTGTGACTACCCTTTTATTCCATCGTTTGCTCAATCAACTTCTCAGCCTCAGACATTCATGGTTGATAGTACTCTAGTCAATGGTAAGGAACCCAATTGAGCCTTTGATACTAGTGCATCTATTCATGTTTCACAAAAGTATGGGAATTTATTTTCATCAATTCCTTATTTTGTTTTTACTTTTTTCCAAGATGGTAATGGTAAACTTGTGCATGTCTCTCATAGTGGAAATCAATATATTTTATCTCATACTTGTTAATTCAAGTTAAATGATATTCTTGTTTATCCATCAATTAAAATGAGTTTAGTTTCTATTTGTTAATTTACTAAAGACAATAACTGTAGTACTGAGTTTGGTTTGTTCGGTTTTATATTAAGGATTTCTAGATAAAGAACATCCTTCTTCTTCATAATAGCAATAGTTGTCTCCATACTTTTCTTGGATAGTTTGGGTCATCTTTTAAGAAACTTCCAAGTGTTTGTCTCTTCTCAACTTTGGCATTGTTTTCTTGATCATTTGGATTCATTGTCATTTAATTACTAAAAACTATAATCATTAATTACACCCTTAGGCACAAACAGGTTACAAAAACCAATCTTGCTTTTAAAGAAGGAATTCCTTAAGATAGATTTAGGGACATTGAACTATTTTTAGGGTATTTTTGCTATGTTCAACTCTTATGGATTGTTCTTGCACTAGTTTAAATACATCCTTTGGTTACTTGATCATAGTGGTATTAAGGATTGTACGCTAATGAGTACTCCAAGTGAATCCAAGAAAAAGTTAGCTACTAATAACAGTCCCTACTACTTTAATCCGTCTACTTATTGATGTCTGGTTGGTGCTTTACAATATGTTACCTTTATACGCCTAGATATTTCTTTCTCTGTACATCAAGTTTCTCAATATATGCATTGTCACGCCCCAAAACCCAATTTCGAGACGCGACAGACGCCGTGCACTCATGAGACAGGTCCCACAAATGCACAAGGCTCGGAACTTATCATACTGTACTCTGATACCACCAAAATCTAAAGATCAAATTATAAAATCTCTCTGATATCATAAATCTCCAATAAAATCTCCAAATACAAGATCATGATTCATATCTAAAATTTATATCCAATTACGATATGGCTAGCCTTCTAACTCGTCACTTCCCGTGGTTTCCCCGTCCTCAATTTCACTTCCTGAAATGGTGGACAAGGAAAAACTATGAGATAAACTCAGTAAGTAAATATGGAGTGCCCTTATTAAACTTATAGCATGCCAACAAGTACAATCACGAAAGACGGATACAGTGCGAGAACGAAATAGACGTCTCCTCTATAGATCATGGCCAGTGTATTAAACTTCCCATTGGCAGGCTACACTTGAACGAACCGGTTCTATCAATAACATGTCGACATGTGCTAGCGTTTAACCCCCACTAGCAGGATTACAATCAATAACATAACCATATCGGAGACAAAACAAGCAGAAGTTCACAAAAAATCATTCTTTACCAATCACTTTCAAATCATCAGGACAATCAATCAAATTTCAAGTAGGCATGCTCAATTTAATGAAAAGCATAAAAATTTCATTTAAAATCAATCATACTTACTTTTGTATAAAACGGGTTTAGTCCCGCCACCACTTCAAAAACAAATCAAAACATGCTTTTATAACAGTACGGGCATTACCATAAATTTACTTACCTCACTTGCATAAAACCGAGCACTCAATCTCAGTGCTAACTGACAGAACGATCAGAAACCTAATCAAAACATCCGAGAATCAATACCGTACTATCACAAATTCACACTGAAATCATCATTAGGATCATTCCTAATCACAATGTTATTTCTATCACTTTCCACATGATCGGACATCTCCAAATTTGTTCTCATATCACAACTAATCATTTAAATTCCCGTTAATTGTTGGCCCTCGAGGTGTGAACAGTAGCCGGTGAACAGTGACCCCGATGTGAACAGTAACTCTACTTCCAAAATTGGCCAAAACACTAGCTAATCTCACGGGATTCCACTCCAAAAATCATAGCAATCAATTAACACTCAATCATATAAATTCCACTTGAATCAAGCTAAATCATGGTCCTAAAGCTATCAAATTCTTCCCCATTTTTCTAGCAAAATTCGGACATCACAAAGCAACAACCTTAAATGGATAATTTAAGCCTTAAAAGGCTGTCACATACCATAATTCTCCAGCTAAAACCGGAGCTGCAGATCGGGGAAGGCCGGCGGCAAGTGCAGGGGAGAAACTCACGGATCTACCCAAAATTAAAGGAACCCAAGAGCAATTAAGGTAGACCCAAGTTAATTCAAGCAAGAACAGAGGGATTGGTAGCTGTTTCTTACCCAAAACCAGAGCAAATCACCCCCACAAAGCAGGAGCAGCCGGTGGAAGGACAGAGCAAAGCAGGGCAGATCCGAATTTTCCAACAAGGGAGAAGGTTTCTAGGTTCCCTTTTCAGTTCTAGAACAAGAAAAGGAAGGCAAAACCAAGCTTTTCCAGCCAGTTTCTCAAGGTTGGTGCCGGCGGCTTGCTTGGGGGAAATTTTGGGCTGCAGCGAGAAGAAGAGCAGAATTGGGAAATGGCTGGGGAAGAAAAGAAAGAAAGAAAAAGAAAAAGAAAAGAAGTCATCCTTATCCAAAATCTTTCCCTCTTTAAGTTCCTCAACTTTTGAAATATTCACATTAGGTCCCAAAACAATCTTTTCTCACAATCAAGTCCTTAACTTACACTTAAATATTTCCGAAAATTGGGATATTACATGCATGCTCTAGCAGTTTATCATTTTTAGGATGTTAATGAGAATTATTTTATATACTTTAATCTATTATTTTAGTGTTGATTTAATTACTATTTGGATGGATACGATCTGGTTTTCAATTGATTTTACATAATTTTCATCTTTTGTTTAGAAAAGGACTTGCATGCATAATAATAGAATTTTTTAAACTTAATTGAATATCTTTAAAGTTGAGGGATTGAATTGCAAGAAGAAATGTAACTTTTGGGAACCTAAAGGAATGATTTGAAGTTATGGGATCAAAGTGCTCATTCTATAGAAGCTAGAGGACTAGATTTGCTATTTAACTATTAAAGAAATTGCAAAAAATCCAAAAACCGACATTGGTTTCGTGTCAACACCTATTTGTGGTGTCGATACCATGCGTTAAGCCTTTAGAAAATAGGTGCTAGTGAAATAAATATAAGTGCCAATACTTACACTATGGTGTTGATACTCCATACATGTTTAGCTTTAAGAGTTTCCATATTTATCATGGATCCTACTCTTTTTTTTATGGGGTTTTATAAACTCTATAAATATTTATTCAAAATCAAATTGTGAAGCTTTTTAGAGACTAAGAGAGAGAAGGCAACAAAAAACTCTATAAATATTTATTCAAAATCAAATTGATGAGCTTTTTAGAGACCAAAAGATAGATAGCAACAAAGAACTCAACCTAAAAAAAAAAAAAATTAAGAGTTGAGATTTTATATTATTAAACTAGTTTTACTTATCCTTGGATTTAATTTGCTTTATAATGTCAAATACTCTTATGTTTATCATGAGATATTTGATTTTTTTTTTTATATACTTTTAAAGCTTACTATTTCATGTAGAGTATATATTCTTGTTCTTAATATTTTTTAATGATTGACCACCATTAAAATTGATTTGGAGAGCATAATTGAGACCAAAATGAGATTTTATGCAATAGTTTTTAGTAATATATACCATGAATTGAATGAAAACTAGAAATAGACTAATGTGATTTGTGCAGTACTAGAGATAAGTGCTCTTGATTTTCTACTTAAATTAAAGAATTTCATAAAATATAATGCATCTTTATCTATATAATTTAACATAGCGATATAGTCAATTAATAGATGAAGATTTGTTTGATATAACTTGAGAAAATATATTGAATAGAATCGGGAAATCCTGTGTAGTAAAGACCTTAGAAGTATATGAAAGAATTGTATGCCCTACAAAGACATCATTATTATTTACATGCATATTTATTTTGGGTGATTTAATAAATGTTATTATTCTTAGATCATACATTAATCATATTGATTATGGGGATGATCAAATGAAAAGATTTGATGATCTTAAAATTGTTCATAGCCATAAGCATACTTTGGACAATATGCTTAACTTGGTTGTCACATGTTGTACTACTATAAGTGTTAGAATGGTAAATTTCAACAACTAGAGTAAGACTCTTAGTAACATAGTGAGTATTTGTATAAGACAAATATTGAACTGGACCATATAGAATAATATTAAGTTAATTATTGTCAAATAAAAGATTATTTTATCCACAATTCATAAAAGATCCTTTGACTTGAAGATGTTATTTAATCTTATGTACAAGTTATTTAGTTTTGATATTGTCAATCAGTGATGCCCAATAAATGAGATATATACAGACATATTGAACTATATAATAAGTATATGAAGATTTATAGTTATCTAATAAGGAACCATCATTCTTATCGTAAGATAGAATATTCAAGTTTGTGTCTCTTTTATATTAAACAAAAATCCGGCCGGTCAATTTAAATAAATATTTTAACTTAGTTTTAAAAAGTTAGATTTTATCAAAATTTAAAATTTAAAATTGTTTTTATTGTCTAAATATATTGAAGAGACACACGTACAAATTTTAAATGACAGTTTTATAAAAATTTTAATTCGATTAGACTTTGTATAGAATACTAGTTGGTGGAGGACTATTAAGTAATTATTGTGGCTTGAGGGATCTCACAATTTTATCTGTAATTTCTTGGATAAGATTGTTATCTATTGATAGGTTTTTTTATTGCAATTCTAAATTGATTTAAATTCAATTTGCCAAGAGATTAAGATCCCAAAAAGAGTCCCACACAACATGCTATTTGTAATTCTAGTCTAACTAAACAAGCTCCCTATATATAAGACCTATTGATTTGACAATATGGTATCTAAGTTTTTATAAGAAAAACATAAACTAGTGGGAGGAGAAGCCATCACTTCTTTAGGAGACAGAATTGAGGCATGGCATGTGAATTTTTAGAGGATTTTGCGCATGTGAAATCTCTGTGAGTTTTCCTAATTTTTACATGAACATATTTGTATCATGTGGATTAATAATTTGTTTATAATTCTTAATTTGATTAAGTGTATTATAAACCTTTCAGTATATTAATCTAAATTCTATATTAGTTGACTATGATGAAATTAGATGCCTTAGAATTCTAACTCTTGGTGTCACTTAAAGTCAATTTAGATTTTTTTTAATTAATTTAGTTAATTAGTTCACTTAAATCATTTAAATTTAATTGTTCAAATAAAATTAATTTTGATACTTAAAATTAATTTTGATACTTATTAGTCTTCAATCTCTATGAAACAATACTTGATTCTCATTATTATATTAGTTAAAATGACTAGTACTTCTACTAAAGTGAAATTAGCTCATCAATCACTAAACAGATCATTTATTATTTGAAAGGTGCTTTGCATTTCGAAATTCAACTTAATTGGATTTCATCTCTTTCAAATGTCTTTATTGATGCTAATTAGGCAAGCTATTTGGATACTCATCAGTTGACTTTTGGCTTTTGTTTATTTCTAGGTAATTCTCTTATGTCTTGGTCTTCTAAAGTAGTAGTCCATTGTTTCTCACTCTACTAGACTATTGAGGCTGGGTATCATGCTATTGCCAATGCTATTATTAAGAACTCATGAGTTTGCTAGTTGGTTTCTGAACTTCATTTTGTCCTTACTTCTCTCACTACTAGAAAACAATATTTAAATGACAAGAATATAATCAATAGTCAAAAAGCTGTCGATTATACTCATATATAATCAACAAAAATTATGTTGATTATGTAATGAGTCGATTATATGAGGTATAATCGACAGCGAATAGTGGTTGTCAATTATGCATGTATAATTAGCAACCAATTCTGTCGATTATATGAATATAATCGACTGCTAATAGTGATTATCGATTATATCAAAATTTTATAAATATATATATATATATATATTAATATTTAACCTTCCACTAATAGCATTTATAATTATTACATATCTTGTAAATCATAAATTTGACAATAAAAATTTAACATCATCAAATGTGAGATTATTTTTTTATTAATATTATATATATTGTGTATATATAATAACAAAATTAACTATAAATATGTAGTGTTAGAATTGATAATTTAATTAAAATAGATATATGTATAATATTAATTAAAAATAATCTTACATTTGATAGTGTTAAATTTTTATTACTAAATTATTATTTATGAGATATATAATATTTATAGATGTTACTAGTGAAAGATTAAATATTTATAGATGTTACTAGTGAAAGATTAAATATTAACATATATATTTACAAAATTTTTACACTTATAATCGACAGCCACTATTGGTTGTCAATTATATATACTCATACCACCTTTCTCACCTGAAAAAAGTTAAATTTCACGATTGATCTAATTCGAAATATAATTGGCAACCATTTTAAAACATAATTGACAGAATTTCTATTGAATATATTCTATCTATATATATGGATACATAAACATAATCAGCAAATATCTTCTCATTTTCTCCTACTTCTCCCCTCCTTCTTTCTTTCCCACAGATGTTTGACCCCATTTCCCTTCTCCCTCTATTCTTATCATCATCATCATCTTCTTCTTCTCCCTTTCATTTTTATTTTTCTTTCTTCTTTCTTCTTCTCCCTTTCCTTCTACCTTTCTAATTCTTGCATTGCATGTCTTCATCTTTCCCTCTTGTTTCTACTTTTCTTTCATCATACCTTCTACCTTTCTTATTTTCATTTTTGGTTGCCTCTTGTTTCTACGTTTCCTTCATTTTCTTTCATTCTTTCATCTAAAGCTTTTTCTTTTCTTTTATTTATTTATTTTTTGTTATTTTCATTTATCATCCAATTATTTTTATTTGATCTACTAATAATTTTTTTTTTATTTTTGCAGATTATTAAGCTTAAAATCATTTTATAAGGTAAATTCACATTTTGATTTATATTTTTCATTTCCTTTTACTTAAATAAAATCTTCTAATGTATAATAATGCTTTTTCCTTTCCCTTTTACGGATATTTTTATTTTATTATAGGTAAATTCCTTATTATTTATCTTACTTGTCCATTAATTCTCATAATATTTGAATATTATTCTTGTTTTTCAATTATTTTCAAAATTATTTTTGATATATTGTTGTTGCACTTTATTGATTTTATCATTGAATTTTGTTTAATGACTTTATAATTTAATTAATAACTATAAAATTAAAAATTTAATTCTACAGTTTTTAATTCTAAATGTTTTTTAATTGTTGGAACAAGTATAATCAATAGTTTTTCTATCGATTATACTATTTTCAACCCGTATTTATTTAACAAATTTGGTTGTCGATTATGTCTGTCGATTATTCCCATAATGGACAGAACTTCTCTTATAATTAACAAAAATTTCTGTCGATTAAATCTTTGTTTTCTAGTAGTGTCTCACAATTATTTATTGTGATAATGTCAATGCTTTGTACATGTCTATCAATCCAATTCTGCATCAAGGTATGAAACATATTGAGATTGACTTGCATTTTGTTTAGGAAAGGATAGCATCTCAATTGGTGTCTTTCTGACATGTTCAATTCCCTTTGCTTATCAAGGGGTTGATACATATACTTACCAAGGCTCTTCTTACCTGTAACACCTTGAATTCTACATTGGTGGGAAATTATGAGTGAGTGTGGTATAAAGTGTATAAACCAACCATTATTAATAATTTGAATTTAAACTTTTGAGAATTCATGCACATCTCATGTGCTACTCTTGCCAATATTATTCCACGTTGCTTCTAAATAATAAATAATAAATTCCATATGCATGATTGCATTTGTTAACAAAAACAACTGTAACAAACATGGGATGTTGCAAAAATGCAGTGTGTCCACAGAACATGCAGAGGCAGGCCAAAAAACAAGAAGACACTGGAGACATGCATGGGTAGGGGACGTGGAAGGTAAATGACACGTGGAGAGATGTTATGGCCGCAAGGAGAAGTATGATTAGAAAGAAGATTCTCTTGTGCTCTGTTTCGGTTTTCAATTACGCCTAGAGATGTGGAGCGGAACGTCTTCCAGTGGCTTTGCTGCCGCCACATTTCCAATGTGTGTCTGTCATTTTTGTGGACAAACAGACAAACGGCGTGAACTGAAGGGAAGGGACAAAGTAGATTCGTTTTTACATGGCGGAGGAGGTAGGAGATAATGACTGCCCCTTGTCCTCGTGGCTGTATTTTTCTATCAAACTATCATATGATATCCAAAATTCAATGGAAATAATAGTTAAGACTTGTTTCCAATTGCACATTAAAAAGAAAAGGACTCTCCAATTTCTTTTCTTGAAGGGTGCTGTTTTACTGGTTTGGCTTTCGATATTGTAAGGGTAAGCCCAGAGCTTCCCGCTAGAACAGCTACACGGTAGTTATGATGGACACCCTTGTATCTAGATATATCTCAATCTCTCGGTCCCGAAATAACTGCTTGGAGATACATATCAAATCCCGGATATTTTGCTTGGAATCTTAATTGGCATACCGCGTGGATTCTGCATCGGAACATATAAATACCCCTTTAGGGCCACGCAAAAAGGTGATTAAAAAACCAACCCTAAGCTCCTTGTTTCTCCGTTCCAAAGGTAACCCCGATTATTGCTGACTTAAGCATCG